TGAAATAAACAAAAGGGTGTCTCATATAACTCATAATTAAACTGCAGAAGTCATTTCCCCGTTGTGTTGGGTTCAGAAGTGATTAAACAAATTCATATAGGAAAGACCCTGCAGTGACAAGGTCTAGCGAGTGATTTCGGAAGGTTGATGGGTACGTGATTGCTGACAGCTGGAAGAGCATGCCAGCAATGGTTCTCTCGCATCTCTACAGTCTTCTCCTGAGTGTTAGCTGCAGGGCAGCAGTGTCAAAGGGAGGATGCTGGCCTATGGTCTTTTGGAATAAGAGTAAGTGTGGCTAGTAGTAAATCCAGGAATGTGACTTTTTTAATGACAGTTTCAGCTAGCCTTCTGACTAGAAATACTCAGAATATGATGAGTTTAAAATTCCAGAATTAGGCACTCGTATTTTCTGAGTTTGTGGTTGCTAATCATTTCTCTTACAGATACAAGACATCCTCAGTGGTGTTTTGTGGTAAAATTGGAGGAAAGTCTGAAGTACTGCTATCAGTAGTTCACCTCTCTGTCATGATGTTCTGCACTGGTAAAATAGGCATCTTAGAGAAACCCTCCAAAAGTTTTAGGCAGTAGCTTAGGGAAGAACTAGCAGGATCAGCTTCGTGGATCATGTGCCAAAGTCCTGTTTTTAGAAGTCTCCAAAGAATCTTAGTGCTATAGTAAGTGGATTGATCTGTGACTTCCAAATGCTTTGGAGACTTGGAAGGTGAGGCTCAGATTTCTGAGGGGCTTAAGTGCTTATGAAAATGCAAACTGTAAAGAAAAATGTCAGAAGGAAGAAAGGAAGGGGAGGAAGTGGACATTGGACATACAGTTCTTGTCTTTGACTCTGTGTAGTGTTTCTGCTTGTGTATCTTCCTGCGTGAGGCTTTGGTTTCAGGTACCCCCCGCAAACCTTTCTCCCTTGATGGTATCCAAACAGGACACTCGATCAGAACAGCTTGTTTAGGCCAAATACTGTGGGAAGCTCTGAGCCAGAACAGGGTGAAATACCAGTGGAGCTAGTTTGAAAAGTTCATCAGATAAATTAAATGACAAGCCGAAAGCATTTGTTTATTTAATAAATAAAACATCCATCTTTATCAACTGTAATGTTTCCTACCCTTTGATACTGTTCCACACTGCTGCTTTCCGGAGGATCTCATCTCACCCAGATACAGAACACAGGTTTGATTATGTGAAGGCGGTGGGTCAACAAGCTTATGAAAATTCAGATACGCATTACTTTGCATAATGCTTCTGATATGGAGATCGACCTGTGTCATCTGTATGTATGCATCCATTATCACTCCTTCTCTTTTGAAAGATACTTCTCCTTTCCCAGCCTCTCCCTGAGCTAGCTCTTCCCTTATTCCTTGTTGTCCTGATGATGGCTGGCCTGTTTGTAGTCCAGGCCATCATCTCCCTGAAAACGTAGGTTTTTCACTCTGGTCTAAACTCTGTCTAAGCAATTCTAGCTCTTATGCTAATTGTCATTTTAGCTATGTGTGCTGATAAGCAGTACTTAAGGGCTGTGTAAAGTGAGTTATTTCTAGATACTTCCATCAGGGATTGTCTTTGGTAGACGTAATCACAGGACAGTTCTTTGTGACAAGTGTTAAAGAGAATGGCTTAAGGACATATATTCACTTTCTCCTAGTTTTTCTTCCTCTTTTTGAGGATGGGGGCTGGAGCAGGCATGTGGGATAACCATTTGAGCTCAGGCCAGGTGAGAACCTTTTTGTGAGTTTGGATTGTGTAGGTTTGCTGAAACCTTGCTCCAGCTTCCACCCTGGGATTATCAGTAGGATTTTAGGCTCAGCTCTTCTGTAAGTAGTCGATAATGTACTCTAGGAATCGGCACACTGTCAGGTGGTGAAACCAAGCTAAATAAAAAAAGTTTTGCCAGATAAGGAGCCTACGAAGTGGACTGGGGTTTCCACATGCCAGTTTAAAGGGAGACCTGCACCTGCTGCCTTGGGGCTGCTGTTCTCAGGGAGACAACCCCGCTCCTGGATAAGATGACCATTGGTAGCTCATTGTGCAAGAGGTTGCACAAAATGTGCAAGAAGACATGTCTGTCTGCTTTAAAAAAAATATTCCTTTATAAAATACTCTTTATAAGAGTAATTAATAAAGCTTGTATTTGTGCTCAATTTTAAAGTTTTTAAAATGGGTTTAGGTGGGGCTTAGAGTAGATGTTTGAGTCAAGGGATTTTACATCATAAGTGACTTTTCTCCTATATCTAGAGGTAGGCACTGGGGTGCAGGTCTCCAGCAGGTGTAAACTGTCACACAGAGTGGCAACAATTAAAGCTCTCACCCTCAGTTTTTCAAAACAGTCAGCAGCCCAGTTTGACATGACGAGCCTCCGAAACTGGAGCCCGAAGAGTTTTATTGAAAACCTGGCTACTTATTTTGGTGTTTACGTCGAACTTAATCTCTATAAAATCTGGTCCAAAATGCAATCTGACATTTGCAGCATTACCAATGTTTACATGTTCAGCTGGGTAACTTGAGCTGCACCGAACCAGTGTTGCACAAACAATGAAAGAAAGAAAAAAAAACCCTTTGGCAGCTATTTCATCTGTAAACTTTCAGATACGTGGAGGAATTACTCTGCCAGATCTACCAAAGCTTGAGCTCATTGAGTATCCTAACTTCAGAGTATTTCTTTACACCATTCTATAAACTCGGTTAGTAATAGGCTGATCATAAAGCGACTCTATCAGAAAGAAAGTTTACGAAATAAATACTTCAGTAAATATTTTCTGGGCAACCATGTGTAATAGATTGCTTGGTATGGTGGATAATAAGCAGTACTGCCTTTTAAGACTGCAGTAATGCAGAGTGCTCCAAGAAGCCTGACCCTACTAGGATTGAGGCCTGAGAAGAGAAAATGTTGATCCCAAACCATGAGGCCAAGATTTATTGGAAGGCTTGTAGTATGGAGATAGAGAAGTCCTAGATTCCAGCTGCTCCCTTTCTTCAAATCCTTCTCTTCATAAATGCATATTAAAATAAATTTCAGGCAAATAATTTAAAACAATCAGAAGAAATTCCTCATAGTAAAACTTTTTAAAGAGTTTAAATTGTCCGAACTTTTATTCTAGCATATGGGGCTTGGTGGTAAATTGAACTGTCTCTTTACAGAAGTGGTAAATCACCAGCATTTTCTATCAAGAGCAGAAAAAAAAATGTTTATAAATCATTGCATTTGTTTTAGATTATTCATCAGAGCTGGAAGGCAATTGTTCAAGTTGCTTTGTGATACTATAAACAGAACACTTGGAAGGCTGTGTAATTTGTAGCAAAACTTGTGGGTTTATACATGTACCAACTCAGAATTTTTCCTTCAGTAAGTGTGCAACTAATCTTCCGGAGAGGAGGATTCCAGTGTGCTGTTTTGAAGGAACAAGTCTGAGTTGGCTTTCATAGGGCAGCAAGACCTGCTAACTTGCAGAGGAAAGGTCTCACAAAGTTGTCTAACTTATCTTTCCTTCTTACACTGCAATAGGCAAGGAAAGTCTTCACTTCTCCCTTTCCTGTGCCCTTCCAAACTGCTCTGATGAGGTTAGGAAAAGGTTCAAATCTGGAAGAGAGTAAGAACTGAGGAAAGGGAGGATTTTGCTACAGAAAATTTGAGACAATGGTGCTTAACATTCCCTGGTAAATAAAAAAGGAGAAGGACCGTCTGCACCCTTGCATTGTAGTTCAAGACAGGAGGACACTGCCTGGTTTCCCTGGGTACTGCTGTAATTACCCTAGAGCCTTTTTTCTCTGTGAGAAAGGGCTGGAGTTTGTGTCACATGAAGCGCAGGCAGCACACCAGCACAAACAGCAATAGCAGGCTTAGCCCAGCTAGCTGGCCCTCTGTTCCCAGCTGAGTGTCTCCAGCATTTCAGAGCCTCCTGGCCTTGCCTGCAAGAGGAAAGCAGCTTGGGTTTACCTTAGCGTGTTGTGGCCAGTCCTGGAGGAATTAATTTCTGCAGGAGCTGTGCCGCCTCTTCTGAGGTTCTGAATGTTGTGGATTATTTAGCTTTGTCGTGTTCTCCCCACCCTGCCAAAAAAAAAAAAAAAATAAAGCAAAACACACACCAGCTCATTTACAGACACGTTGGTGCACACCATGAAACAGCTTACTGGTTGCGGGGTCTCCATAAAAATGGCAAAGATGGATTTTTCAGGTGGCAACTTGCTTTTGTTGGAAGAAAAAAACAGAAAATGGATACGATACACCTTTTATGAACAAAGCAGGAGGGTTGCAAGGTTGAATGTGGTCAGATACCCTTCCGTGGCAGTGGTTTCACAGTGCTGAAACATATGTCTGTGTTAAACGCAACAGCATAAAAACTTCTGTGCCAAAGAGAGGTGATGTGGGATAGGCAGGGACCTTCAAACCAGCCAGTAGCTAATGTTGCCTTTGTGGTTTTATATATTTGCCTATTAAAATGACAATACAGACATGGAACATTTAGGTTTAAGAAGCCTTCTTTTCATTAAACAACATTAAACAAACTGACAAAGTAGGGGGTTATGACTCCAGTAATTGAAACATGCTGTTCTGTTCAAGACCAGAACTCTATAAAGACTCTTTTCACCCAGTAATGCCCTTTGTGTTTGCCTGCTACCCTTGCTAGAAATTACTGTAGGCCTGAAGTATGTCTTTCCAAGTGGAGTGGGAATGACAGGGTGCAACACCACACTTGGCAGATGGGGTCACAGCCTTTTTAGGACGTTAACATTCATTGTGCATTGGAAATCAATTTGCAACTCAGAATGCATGGAGACTTAGCTGAACTTCCCTCCCCACTGGTTTTTTATGTTAACTTTAAAGCTAGGACACAGGAAGAAGAATTGGATTAATTTGGATTAACTCTGATGGGATTCGGGTAGTTTTCAGTGGCTTAATTTACAGTGTGCCTTTTCATGGGTTCCTTGCTCTTCTAGATGTATATTTTGAATCTGTACATTATCTTGTATTTCTTTTTCCTTCTCTCTTCTAGATGTTGATGAGTGTCAGGATAACAATGGAGGGTGCCAGCAGATTTGTGTAAATACTATGGGCAGCTATGAATGTCAGTGCAAAGAGGGCTTTTTTCTGAGTGATAACCAGCATACCTGCATTCATCGCTCCATCGGTAAGTTTTCAGCGTGTAAATCGTGCTCTTTAGAATAACCACGTTCAATCAGAAATGCAGAAACTGTTTGGGGAGGATCTTTTTTTTTATCCCAGAGCTCCCAAAATCATTTCACTGGCTGGTTGGAATTGATTGATTCTTCTGCTACCCAGACTTGTGGCAGAGCCATAAATAAGAGATAGGGGGAAAAGCTTTGCTTTGACATAGAAATTTTACTTGGTTCAAACAGCAGGTTCTTAGGGCAGGCAGAGGCAGATTTTTCTAATGGCAGCTTTCTGCTTCTGAGTTCCCACGACTTAAAAAGTTCTCATCTGTTTATTGTATAATAGTTCACTTGTTTTCCACCTTACAGGGCATGGTATCTTAAATCAAAATGAGCAGCTTGTTGCTTCTGGAAGTTATACAGGTTATGGGTTTTTGCCAGGCATGTAACTTCACTGCAGACTGATGATGGCTGATGTTATATTGACACAGCATTTTTCTTTGGATCACTACCCTGTCTAGGGTGGATTAGAAAACTGCTTCTCCATGGCCTGTGCACTAGCGGTAGAAATAAGGAATCCCTGCAAAACTGTGGTCCTTGTCTGCTGCTGATTTTGACTAGAATAAGCAGCTCTCCCTTTTCTATACATGTCAGACATGGAAGACAAGTTTGAGTGGAAAGGGAGAAAAGAAAACAGCATAGCTATAAATCTTTGCAATTAAGTGGGCTCTTTATGTGTTCATTCAGACTTCTGGTGACCCTGGCAGCAATGGGAATAGATCCTAGCAAACTCCTCTACCAATAGGCAATACAGAATGACAAAGTAGCAAGCTGAGCCTGGTGATCAACAATGTAAGCACGCTGTAAATTTCAACAAGCCACACAAACGGCTCTGAACTATTTTCAGTCATTAAAATTAACCAGAAAATCCTACTTGAGGAGAGAGTACAAATGTAGTCACTTTGTTGATGAGAAGGCAAAACGTTGTGTAGCATCTCAGAAATGTAAATGTATCTCTGGCACTGTGTGTCTGCTTACACAGAACCGTAAAGACAAGTAATAATTTTCATTTTCAGAAATGTGACTCTCCGGAATGTATTCACAGCTTTACTTTTTAGCATGATTATTAAGTTTTAAGCGATTGAGGTATTTTGATTATGACAAGAACATACAATTAAGCTCCATCAACCGGTTCATTTTAAATGTTGGGATCTAATAGGTTTTTAGTCATTCTTCTCAACATAAATCGTGCAAATTTCTGTCCAGCAAAAAGTAGCCCTGACACAAAGATATCCAGCAGAGCAAGGAATAGTAGCTGGAGGCTTAATGAAAACCACTTGCAGAGTACTGTGATACAATCTTTGTTTCAATTTGCACGTTATAAAAATTCCCAGCTGTAATCAAAGAGAATTTAGTTATCTGAGATGGAAACTAATTAAATAAATGAAGAATGAGACTCTAAAGGCTAAAGTTTCTTCTAAGGAATCGATTTATTGAGGGAAAAGAATAAGGTTTCATGGCAAAGAGGATTCCTAGTTTGCTGTATGGACTGGGGGAGTGGATTTGAAGGTTGACAGCTATATGCACATAATAAATAAGCATGAAATAATATATTTGTGTGAACTTGTTGGCCAAAAAAAATGTCATGTCTAACATGTATGTTTAATTTGAAGCAACAGCTTCTAAAAAATTATTATAGGTCTGCAAAAAAAAAGCAACCCACCAAATAGACCAATGGTGATTACAAAGTGGTTTATAAACAAACTGTTTGTAGCTTTTCAAAAATAAAGTGCCAATTTACAGTAACAGCAAACATTACACTGTAGTGCCATGATCCCCATCACAAATGTATCAGTTGGGTATGCTAGAGGAAGGAAATGAGGTGAAATTATCTCTTTCAGTTGTCAGAGGTGACTGAACTGCAAACAGTAAACATGCATGGTGAGAAAGTAAATGGCTTTTTTAATGTCAATGTTTACTCACTTTCATCTGTCTCACTTGTAAACTCTGCTGCAGAAGCTGTTGGAATGCAAAAATACGTATCAACCTATTTAGCCAGAATTGTTCCTGAGGCTAGGTTGTCTCTATACCTCTGTTGGTGAACAAGGCTGGAGTGGACAAAGGCACACCACACAGCCAGCACTGCAATCCCAACACAAAAGCACTGACTTCCCAAAGCCCTTTAGCAAGCTTGTTGACTTTGAGCATAATAAGATCCATTAATTGCAGGGGGGTTACCTTTCTGTCTCTGAAAAATGCATGTTCAGTCACACAATCTTGGTGTCCTTGATGGTACCTAAAGTCTCTTCAAGGACTCAGCTCGTCTAAAACAATCAACCACAAGGTTCTTCATGCAGTTTGCTGCCACCTTTTCCCTCCTGTTTTCAGCTATTTTTGGGAGAGGGGAGAAGCACTGTGAGGTGCTTAGGATGTACTTGGGAGTTGGGATGAGTTCGGAATGTACAGAGCAGTACCAAGCCTAAGCAATGCCCTCTCTGCAGGCCCTGTGCTTTGAGCTCATCAGCACCTTCAAGTGATGTGGTAGTGTCACAGCTGAAAAGGGTGTTGGGTAGTCTCCCGGGGGTTGAGCAGAAGGACTGTGTCCTTTGGCATTAACTAGCCAAGGGAAAGGTGGCTTCTGGTATAAAGTCTCCTTAAAGGGTCAGCTGCTGTGTGACTTTCCGCAGCTTCCAGAGATGTGCTGCACCAGTCCCAGTGTTCTGGGGTCTGCTGTGCCACCATGGTCCTACCCACAGGCTGGGGTTAAAAACCACACTGGAGTTCATGGAAGGGGCTTGGAATATCACCCTTGCATCCCAAACAATATGTCTGCTTGTCGTCTAGAAGGGTTCTTAATATTTCCAGTGGATAAAAAGGATTAATGATCCACAGAGAAATAGGAATTTTATACCCATGGGAGGCCAGCCTGACATTAAAATCAGGGCAAGCCCTGGTTTCCCAGTATTTGCTTTATTTCACTGTCTTCAGTGTAGGCCTACTGATTTCTTCTGTTTAGTCTCAGTATCTTTTGGGAGGATACTATGCCCAGTACAACTTACCTCATTTATTTTTGCATTAATTTCCCTTTAATGAGTCAGATTTCAGTACTAGTTTACTCACAGTAATGGTAGCAACAACAGGGAGTGAGAGTTGGAGGGAGAATGGATTGTAAAAGATGCAGAGAACTTAACAGTTGTTTACCCCAGTACATCTTAACTGCAATGGCAGGTGTGAACACTGTGAATTATACCAGGGATGTTTGTGTTTGTTTCCTCATGACACAAAAAGAAACCAGAATAAAACAGCTGTTACTATATCATCTCCAGCTCCAGAGGGAGCATGTGCTTAATAAATGTGGAGATCAGTATCGTGCACTACAGCTGTGACTGAGTCAGGTTGAGGGGGTTACAGCATGTTTACCTTTAATTGGATGATAAGCCAAAAGCCCCAGTTCAGCAAAGCCTCTGGGCACGTCCTTGAAGTCCCAGTGATATCAAAGTTGGTTAAAAATCTGTACTGGGCCTAAAGAGCATCAAAATTGGCAGGGTTTAGCTATATGCCTGTATCTCCACTGAAGTTCAGAGTGAGCAGGATGAAGGGTATGGGTATGTCCCGTTTGCATTACAACTCTGAAAGTTACTGTGGTCAGGAGCCCTGGCTACAGACTGCCTCATCAACTAAAATTCTCAGCTGAAGCCTTACAGAAAGCCACTGCTGTCCCACCTCCGGAGGGCAAATCTCCTAAAGCACAAAGATTGTTTGCTTACAAGCCAGATAGTTCAGGGAAGTGTATATATATCTATATCTATATCTATATCTGTGGCTAGGAAGACTTCTGTCGTTATAGATTCCACCCCCTGAACTATGTTAGTGGTCTACTAACCATCCACTGCCGATAGTTGTATAAAGCTAGTGCCAAGTAAACTAAAAAGGCAGGTGCAATTAGGAGTGGTAGTTATAAGTGGAGACAAGAAGAGGTGGAGAAGTACCAGGCTATAGAAGGCTGGAAATTATCACGGTCTGGCCAAACGGTGGAAAAGCTTTTTACATGGTTGTCACCATCATTTTCAAGCCTGTTAAAAAAACATTTGGCAAGGAAATGCTTTTTCACTTTGCCTTATCCCATTAGCCTTATGTTCTTAGTAGAGTTAGGGCGTTTGACATAAAGTCAAGCTACCACAACGTAGCGAATTACGTGCTGCGGAGTCTGAAAACCAGTTTGTCTCTTTCTGCACTGGAGTTTAGTCCCAGAGGAAAGAGCAACACGCTAAGCCAAGCTGTCTTGCATTTGTCATGGGTTAAGTGGGCTTATGAAAGGCTTACCATGCTTCTGCTGATACAGAAAACTTGTGAAACTTAATAATACGTTTAAACCCTTGTTAATTTTGCAATAGTAGCATAGGAGTCTTTCGGGCAGCTGATATCAAACTACCAAGTTTCTTCTTGTTCTGAGGATTATAAACCCACCTTTGTTCATTTTTTTAATTCCTACTTTCCACGATTCATTTTTATTCCTTACCTGCTTTCTTAGCCCAGTGTGATTTCATAGCGGTGGAATAATGTGTCAGGGCTCCCTGTGAGGAAGCATGATCCCCAGTCAGTTCAGGAAGGGTTGGGATTCTGGACTTCATTCCCATCTCTGGTGCAGATGCCTTGTGGGAATCTGGGCAAGGAGGTTATTGTGACTCAGAATTTCTGCAAAGCAGAAGACAGAGTGGTTTTTTTTTACAAAAAGCACAATAATCTATTCATATTTAGATTAATGTGGAAGGGTGACTTTAAATAATTAAGTGTTGCCAGCACCGTTCCAGACTGAAGTACAAGGTTTCTCATCTCAGCTGTGAAAGCTCTTTTGTGATGATGTAACCAGTTAAATGACTCCATTACTTGAATACACTTTGCTGTAGCTACCCCGAGTACAGGCATCCCATCAACTAGAGCAGAACAGTCCTATTTGTCTTTTAAAATTGGAGTCCTAATATGATTGTAAAGTGGAAGAATATATCTAAAGTACATT